CTTGCAGGAACACACATATCCGGTGATCCAGTGCACACTCAAACCCGGCAGCACCAGGGGCTGCAGCCTTGCGGGGGCTGCTCAAGCATGGCTGGTTCCATGTGTGCCTCAGCTGGGCTGGCAGAAGCCCAGGGGGTGGGGAGAGGGGGAGGACAGTCACACCCCTTCCCATTTAAGAGCCTGGCATCTGTGTCCAACCAGTGCCTAAAATACTTACAGAACAAGGAGGAGGCTGACCGCAGCTCGATGTTCCCACCTTCCACGTCCCTTCCTCACTCAGGTGTTGGGCAGGTGGCAACACCTGGCTGAGCTCCACCAAGACTTGGCGCCTCTCAGGAGGGCAAGAGTGTCCCTGCTGCTGGCACCCTCCAACCCACCTGCTCCTTCCTCAATTGGGCTCAAAACATGCACCCCAAACCTTTTAATAACCATAATCATTACAAACAACATTTATTCAGTGCTGACTCTGTGCTAAGACAACTGCATTTGGGGTGGCTCACTGTATCTGTTAGAATGCAATGACCACAAGCAGCAAAATACTCACCTAGTGGTGGCCCACTTAACAACTAACAATAATAATAGCTAATAATTATGGTGCTCACTATGTGCCAGTCACTGTTCTAAGTTCTTTTACATGAATGAACTCATTAATTCCTCACAATAACTCTACTAGTGATCTGTACTATTACCGTCCCCTTTCTATAGATCAAGAAACTGGGCTCAGAGAGGTGAAGCAACTTCCCCAAAGCCACAGGGCTACTAAGAAGCAGAAATGAGCCACAGACCAGGCTTGTCTGACTCCCGAGTCCCAGCTTTGAACCTGTCTGTGATGTAATTAGACTCTTGTCCCTTAAAGTACGTTATGGCAAACGACAACAAGAGCCACCTTCCAAGCACCTGTCATGTGTGGCATCACCTCATTCCCTCCTCACAACACCCTCCTCTGATGTGCCCCTTGGACAAGTCACATGACCTCTCTGAGCCTTCACCTCCTCTTCTGCAAAATAGGAATGAGAGCTTGGGTCCCTCGCCACTGCTCACTGAACTACGCTGCCCTCCCTGTGATCTTGTCCTCCTGACCTGCCTGTGAGGCCAAGAAGATGTTTACTGGCCTCCCCAAAGCTTAGAGAGGCCCACAGCTATGCCCAAGACATCCAGGGGGTCAGTGGCAGAGCCAGATCAGGACCTGGACCTCCTGATCCCTGAGCTCATGTATGTCAGCAGCGACCCACTGCTCCCCAGATGTCTGGAATATCTTCCTACAGGTTTCAGGTTAGAAGGCACTGGCTCTCTTCCTCCTCTTCCTCTTCCTCCTCTCCCTTCCACCTGTCTTCCTCCTCTTCTCGCCCACCGGAAAGTCTCGCTAGGAGGTGGGTGGACCAGCAGTATCTGCCAAGGCAAGGCCATTCACGGGCCGGAGACGCCCAGTTTAGGAGGCGCTGGGGGTGGGGAAGTCTTTCAGCCAGCAGGAGCCCCCAGCTGAGAAGCAGGGCCAAAAATGAAGGGGAGCAGAAGGTTGGAGACGCCCAGTTTAGGAGGCGCTGGGGGTGGGGAAGGCTTTCAGCCAGCAGGAGCCCCCAGCTGAGAAGCAGGGCCAAAAATGAAGGGGAGCAGAAGGTGGAGGCCGAGCCCCCGGCCAGCCCCGTGCTGGCAGGGTGTCTGCCCCGCACGAGCCACTTAGCCTGTGCTGTCCAGTAGAACCTTCTGTGATGGTGGAAATGTTCTATTTCCGGCTGCTACTAGCCACATATTGTTGTTGAACACTTGAAATATGGCTAGTGCAACAGAGGAACAGAACATTTAACCTTATTTAATTTTAATTAATTTACATTTAAATAGCCACGTGGTTCTAGTGGCTGCTGTACTAGAAAGCATGAAACATAACTTTTCCAAGCGTCTCAGTCTCTTCATATGCACAACAAAGATCATGATAACCTCAACCCTAACCTAAGAGGATGGCTGGGACCACGAAGCGATGTAGTTTGTGGAATAAGCCCCAGCTGGGAGTCAGGAATCCTGGGTTCTAGACTTATTAGCATGCTGTGTGATCCCAGGCAAGCTCCTTAACCTTTCTGACTGCCCTGGTCATCTGTACAGTAAGGAAGTCTCTTTGGATCAGAGTTTCTTTGCCAGAGATCCATAGATGGGTTTTAGGGGAATATGGGAACCCCCTACAGTTCTGAGAAGGGTGTGTTCATATGACCGTGTGTGTGAGAATGAGTGTGTAGGGTGTGCGCGTGTATTTAATAGGGGAAAGCAGTCCCAAAACTTTCCCAAAATTCTCAAACGTGTCCATAAAGATAAGAAACCCCTAGTGTAGGTTGATCTTCTTCCAGAGAGCTTTTTTTTTTTTAAAAGATGACTGGTAAGGGGATCTTAACCCTTGACTTTGTGTTGTGAGCACCACGCTCATCCAGTGAGCAAACCGGCCATCCCTATATAGGATCCAGACCCGTGGCCTTGGTGTTATCAGCACCGCACTCTCCCGAGTGAGCCACGGGCCCGCCCTCCAGAGAGCTTTTTTTTTTTTTTTTTTTTTTGTCTTTTTTCGTGACCGGCAACGGATCGCAACCCTCAGTGCCGCGCCCTTACCGGACCGGGACCGGCAACGGGATCGCAACCCTCA